TGCAGGCACTGTACTTCCCATCTCCAGGACTCAAGTCCGGCCTGCCGGTTTCCCTGAATCCCTTCATAAATGTTACTTTGCTCACACTCCAACAGCACGTCAAGTATTAAAACCATTTGTCTCCATTCACTCCTATCAAACACGCTCACGCATGCCTGCTGGAAGTCCAAGCCCTCGCACACAAAACCTCCTTTACCCCCTCCCTCCAACCCTTCCTAGGCCGACCCCTACCCCCGCCTTCCTTCACTACAGGACTGATACACTCTTGAAGTCATTCTGTTCGCTCCATCTCTCTTACATGTCCGAACCACCTCAACAACCCTTCCTCAGCCCTCTGGACAACAGTTTTGGTAATCCCGCACCTCCTCCTAACTTCCAAACTACGATTCTCTGCATTATATTCACACCACACATTGCCCTCAGACATGACATCTCCACTGCCTCCAGCCTTCTCCTCGCTGCAAACATTCATCACCCACGCTTCACACCATATAAGAGCGTTGGTAAAACTATACTCTCATACATTCCCCTCTTTGCCTCCAAGGACAAAGTTCTTTGTCTCCACAGACTCCTAAGTGCACCACTCACTCTTTTTCCCTCATCAATTCTATGATTCACCTCATCTTTCATAGACCCATCTGCTGACACGTCCACTCCCAAATATCTGAATACGTTCACCTCCTCCATACTCTCTCCCTCCAATCTGATATTCAATCTTTCATCACCTAATCTTTTTGTTATCCTCATAACCTTACTCTTTCCTGTATTCACCTTTAATTTTCTTCTTTTGCACACCCTACCAAATTCATCCACCAATCTCTGCAACTTCTCTTCAGAATCTCCCAAGAGCACAGTGTCATCAGCAAAGAGCAGCTGTGACAACTCCCACTTTGTGTGTGATTCTTTATCTTTTAACTCCACGCCTCTTGCCAAGACCCTCGCATTTACTTCTCTTACAACCCATCTATAAATATATTAAACAACCACGGTGACATCACACATCCTTGTCTAAGGCCTACTTTTACTGGGAAAAAATTTCCCTCTTTCCTACATACTCTAACTTGAGCCTCACTATCCTCGTAAAAACTCTTCACTGCTTTCAGTAACCTACCTCCTACACCATACACTTGCAACATCTGCCACATTGCCCCCCTATCCACCCTGTCATACGCCTTTTCCAAATCCATAAATGCCACAAAGACCTCTTAAGCCTTATCTAAATACTGTTCACTTATATGTTTCACTGTAAACACCTGGTCCACACACCCCCTACCTTTCCTAAAGCCTCCTTGTTCATCTGCTATCCTATTCTCCGTCTTACTCTTAATTCTTTCAATTATAACTCTACCATACACTTTTACCAGGTACACTCAACAGACTTATCCCCCTATAATTTTTGCACTCTCTTTTATCCCCTTTGCCTTTATACAAAGGAACTATGCATGCTCTCTGCCAATCCCTAGGTACCTTACCTTCTTCCATACATTTATTAAATAATTGCACCAACCACTCCAAACTATATCCCCACCTGCTTTTAACATTTCTATCTTTATCCCATCAATCCCGGCTGCCTTACCCCCTTTCATTTTACCTACTGCCTCACGAACTTCCCCCACACTCACAACTGGCTCTTCCTCACTCCTACAAGATGTTATTCCTCCTTGCCCTATACACGAAATCACAGCTTCCCTATCTTCATCAACATTTAACAATTCCTCAAAATATTCCTTCCATCTTCCCAATACCTCTAACTCTCCATTTAATAACTCTCCTCTCCTATTTTTAACTGACAAATCCATTTGTTCTCTAGGCTTTCTTAACATATATATATATATATATGTATGTATGTATGTATGTATATGCATACAGAAACATAACTGTATTCTTTTACTCACTGCAAATTCACACGTTCTTGAGAAATGTTTACTTAACACTTTCTGCACGATGGCTTCCTTAATGAAAATCAGAAGCCTCCGCCGAACGAGATTGTGTTGCGTCCAGCAGGTGTTTTGATGGAGTAGTTAGCGACGTGTAGCAGGTGTTATGATGGCGTAGTCAGCGACATCTAGCAGATGTTTTGATGGAGTAGTGACTATCGTTCGGCAAGTGTTCTGATCGTGTAGTGAACGACATCCAGCAAGTGTTCTGACGATGTTCTGAGCATGTACTGAGACTAGGGGTTCGGGGATGGTAGGGGAAGGGGGGCGGGTTGAGGGAGCAAAGGAGATATATGAACACACACTATTGGTCAGTCTGGATTGACGTCACCTCAACAGCAGAAGCAGATACACGTCAGTTGCTCGGAGTGAAATGTAAACAAACCTAATGTAAACTGCTTGGAGCTGGGTGTGTTAAGCTTACTCTCTCTCTCTCTCTCTCTCTCTCTCTCTCTCTCTCTCTCTCTCTCTCTCTCTCTCTCTCTTCAGGGTTAGAAGATGATTTAGTAAGACATTATAGCTATCCTCTATCCTGAACTGACTATGCTATTACCATATACTTTCTCTTCTCACAACTGAGATGTGTTAAACTTGTGTACTTTCTTCCCTCACAGACACTGTTAAACTTGTGTACTTTCTTCCTTCACAGACACTGTTAAACTTGTGTACTTTCTTCCTTCACAGACACTGTTAAACTTGTGTACTTTCTTCCTTCACAGACACTGTTAAACTTGTGTACTTTCTTCCTCACAGACACTGTTTAAACTTGTGTACTTCTTCCCTCACAGACACTGTTAAACTTGTGTACTTTCTTCCTTCACAGACACTGTTAAACTTGTGTACCTTCTTCCCTCACAGACACTGTTAAACTTGTGTACTTTCTTCCCTCACAGACACTGTTAAACTTGTGTACTTTCTTCCCTCACAGACACTGTTACACTCGTGTACTTTCTTCTCTCACAGACACTGTTAAACTTGTGTACATTCTTCCCTCACAGACACTGTTAAACTTGTGTACATTCTTCTCTCACAGACACTGTTACACTCGTGTACTTTCTTCTCTCACAGACACTGTTACACTTGTGTACTTTCTTCCCACACAGACACTGTTAAACTTGTGTACATTCTTCTCTCACAGACACTGTTAAACTTGTGTACATTCTTCTCTCACAGACACTGTTACACTTGTGTACTTTCTTCCCACACAGACACTGTTAAACTTGTGTACTTTCTTCCCTCACAGACACTGTTAAACTTGTGTACATTCTTCTCTCACAGACACTGTTACACTTGTGTACTTTCTTCCCTCACAGACACTGTTACACTTGTGTACTTTCTTCCCACACAGACACTGTTACACTTGTGTACTTTCTTCCCTCACAGACACTGTTAAACTTGTGTACATTCTTCTCTCACAGACACTGTTACACTTGTGTACTTTCTTCCCACACAGACACTGTTACACTTGTGTACTTTCTTCCCTCACAGACACTGTTAAACTTGTGTACTTTCTTCCCACACAGACACTGTTACACTTGTGTACTTTCTTCCCACACAGACACTGTTACACTTGTGTACTTTCTTCCCTCACAGACACTGTTAAACTTTTGTACTTTCTTCCCTCACAGACACTGTTAAACTTTTGTACTTTCTTCCCTCACAGACACTGTTACACTTGTGTACTTTCTTCCCACACAGACACTGTTACACTTGTGTACTTTCTTCCCTCACAGACACTGTTAAACTTGTGCACTTTCTTCCCTCACAGACACTGTTAAACTTTTGTACTTTCTTCCCTCACAGACACTGTTAAACTTGTGTACATTCTTCTCTCACAGACACTGTTACACTTGTGTACTTTCTTCCCACACAGACACTGTTACACTTGTGTACTTTCTTCCCTCACAGACACTGTTAAACTTGTGTACTTTCTTCCCACACAGACACTGTTACAATTGTGTACTTTCTTCCCACACAGACACTGTTACACTTGTGTACTTTCTTCCCTCACAGACACTGTTAAACTTTTGTACTTTCTTCCCTCACAGACACTGTTAAACTTTTGTACTTTCTTCCCTCACAGACACTGTTACACTTGTGTACTTTTTTCCCTCACAGACACTGTTAAACTTTTGTACTTTCTTCCCTCACAGACACTGTTACACTTGTGTACTTTCTTCCCACACAACCTGCGTTAGACCTATATAGTTTGTTCCCTTACAGCCTATATTAAACCTATGTATTGTCTCTCCCTGATAGCCGAGACGTGTCAGATCTGGCGGATGAGGAGGGTGAGGCCGCGGGTATCGTCAGACGTACCCACGGCCTCAGTGAAGCTGACAAGACTGATGCAGCGATACCCATTGATGTCTTCGGCAGGGAACTGGTTAGTAATTTTCAATATTGCTTTTTTATGTGAAATGTTAAATTTGTTTAAGGTGATTAAGGGGAAAGGATTGGTGGAGGCTCGATCCTCCGTTACTGTATCTTAAAACTGTTTTTTCTCTTAGTTTGATATGATAAGTTGGTACCTATACATATATATAATTCATATAACAAATTCGTACGTGAGAGATATGACGTAGATATGACTTGGAATTTTGAAAAAAAATTGTATAATTCACATTAAGTATTATGTACTAACACATGGGAGTAGCGCTCACACACACACACACACCCCTGGCGGGGCCAGGAGCTATGACTCGATCCCTGAAACCACAAATTGGTGAGTACAAATAGACGAGTACACAGATGAGAATGCAGTTAAACACAAGTAATACACGGGTAGGTGAACACACGCCCACACAAACAGTTATGTAATAAAAAATATATAACTACAGTATGGCAGTCTAATGAAGATTATACTGAACCCGAAGATGATCGGAGTGTGTTGAGACGCACCACTCACCACTCACCTCTCTCTCTTTCCTCTTACAGGTGGAGAAGATCTACAGTAAGAACTACTCGGAGAAGGAGGCAGGACTGAAGCAGCTACAGCAGGAGTTAAACAGTTACTGTGCTCAGGCCTCAGGTGTTCGACCAGACAGGTGACCAATATAACTTTTTAACTTTTCTCTTAACCTCCAATACATAACATCCCACACTACTAGACTTTTTATTTATATATATATATATATATATATATATAATATATATATATATTATATATATATATATATATATATATATATAAATAAATAAATATATATATATATATATATATATATATATATATATATATATATATATATATATATATATATTACATGGGTGTATATATTTCTTCTCTCGTCTTATATACCTAGAGGGAGATGTTAATTTAAATTTTATCTGTTCTTTCTCATTTTACCCTGCTTTCTCTCTCTCTCTCTCTCTCTCTCTCTCTCTCTCTCTCTCTCTCTCTCTCTCTCTCTGTCTCTCTCTGTCTCTCTCTCTCTCTTCTCTCTCTCTCTCCTTCTCTCTCTGTTTCTGTCTCTCTCACTCTGATGCAGGTACATGCGGGGTTGCGTGGTGTTGGTTCGTCGTGCGCTGCGAGACAAGGTGTACAGTGTGGGAGTGTTGGCCTCAGACACACTCTCACACATTCTCAACCATTTCATCGCCAAACACAAGTACGTCCCTTCCACAACATTATTATTTTAGCATCTCCCCCCGCGTTATACCCCCTGTCATCTGTCTCCAAGATCGAGTGACCCCCATTCCCCCTCCCCCCCAAAATACATTTAATATCATTCGTTCAATAGCTGTCTTGCCAGAGAACCACAAATATGATAATTCAAATGACCTTTCTAACTACAACACAGACATTGATTTTCTTCATCACGCCTTTCGCTGTTTTTTTTCCTTGGTATCTGTGTATGTTGTAGGCATGTAGGGAAGAATTACTGACGTGTATATATATGTACCTAATTGAATGGGTTTGTGTGTGCGTCTGTATGTGCTTTTATGGCGTATGTGAGTGTTTCTTATAGATTTTGTATGATTTTTGTGCACGTGTTCTTAAATCATTTGTACCTGTTGCCAGATATTTGTATGCTTTTTCGGGATGTGTAAGCGTTACGATGGTTTATATTTGTATTTCTAGGTATTTGTTTGAGTGTTTAGGTATGCGTAGGTGTTCTAAATTATACACGTGTGTTCCTTTGTACTTGTTCACATGTTTAAATACAGATATGTGCTCTTAAAGCATTCATGGGCGTTTCTAAGCACTTGTATGTCTCTTTGTGTATTCATTGCTTTGTTAAAGATAACGTTTGTATATCTAGATATTTGCATTGTGTTTTTAAGTGCGTGTACCTGGAGGTCGTTCATGGAAAATTGAGGAATTATTTTTAGGCCTGTGTATATGTTGAGATGGATTTTGTCGCACTGAGCACCATGTTAGGAGGTTCTCACTGGATGTAAGTATCTTGTTTCCTTGTAAGTCAAAACTGGTATTGTGCCGGGAGGGTCTTTCAAGGGTTTTTATATGCTCCATTTGAAGTTATGATGCGCCTGTGTGTGTTGGTATCAGTAATCTTCAAGCTCTACGACCTGTGTTGTACACCTGTGTGTTGGTATCAGTAATCTTCAAGCACTAACACTTGTGCTGTAAGTCTGTGTGTGTTGGTATCAGTAATCTTCCAGCACGAAGAGTTGTGTTGTACACCTGTGTGTTGGTATCAGTAATCTTCAAGCACTACGACCTGTTGTACACCTGTGTGTTGGTATCAGTAATCTTCAAGCACTACGACCTGTGTTGTACACCTGTGTGTTGGTATCAGTAATCTTCAAGCTCTACGACCTGTGTTGTACACCTGTGTGTTGGTATCAGTAATCTTCAAGCACTACGACCTGTGTTGTACACCTGTGTGTTGGTATCAGTAATCTTCAAGCACTACGACCTGTGTTGTACACCTGTGTGTTGGTATCAGTAATCTTCAAGCACTACGACCTGTGTAGTACACCTGTGTGTTGGTATCAGTAATCTTCCAGCATTAACACTTGTGCTGTAAGTCTGTGTGTGTTGGTATCAGTAATCTTCAAGCACTAAGTGTTGTGTTGTACGCCTGTGTGTTGACGCCAATATTCTATCAACATTAACACGTGTCCTGTGTTAGGAATACATTTTACAACCCTTGAAGGGACATAGAAGAATACGCACCTAAGAATATGTTGGTTCTGTCACATAGTGAAAAATTTCTTGCTATTCCATCTCTACTTAGGAATTTCAAAATAAAAAATATTATTTAAAAATCCTGATGTCATACAAAAACTAACTGATTAAGAATTTCTCCAAAATGCTTATAATTGTGTCTACAATATTTTCTGTAGAAAATGCAATAAATTTTATTCTAAGGTAACTGGAAAAAAATCTTGAATTAAATTTACAAAATCAAAATAAAAATCGCTGTATTAAAACAGGTTTACCAGTTTATTTTTTCACTGTATTGTATATATACATAACAGAAATTATATATATATACTAATTACTGTTTCTCACTTTCCATAACACCTGTCATCACCTGTGGGTGCACCTGTCATCACCTGTGGGTGCACCTGTCATCACCTGTGGGTGCACCTGTCATCACCTGTGGGTGCACCTGTCATCACCTGTGGGTGCACCTGTCATCACCTGTGGGTGCACCTGTCATCACCTGTGGGTGCACCTGTCATCACCTGTGGGGGCACCTGTCATCACCTGTGGGTGCACCTGTCATCACCTGTGGGTGCACCTGTCATCACCTGTGGGTGCACCTGTCATCACCTGTGGGTGCACCTGTCATCACCTGTGGGGGCACCTGTCATCACCTGTGGGTGCACCTGTCATCACCTGTGGGTGCACCTGTCATCACCTGTGGGGGCACCTGTCATCACCTGTGGGGGCACCTGTCATCACCTGTGGGTGCACCTGTCATCACCTGTGGGGGCACCTGTCATCACCTGTGGGTGCACCTGTCATCACCTGTGGGTGCACCTGTCATCACCTGTGGGTGCACCTGTCATCACCTGTGGGTGCACCTGTCATCACCTGTGGGTGCACCTGTCATCACCTGTGGGGGCACCTCTTGTGACCTCCAGGGTGACGAAGAAGGAGGTGACCTCGACCCTGGACAAGGTGCTGCCTGACCTGCTAGCCAAGACTGCAGACAACGCTACCAGGAACCAGAACCTGGCAACCTCTGCTATACTGGAGATGCTCAGGCTGTCTTTAGACAGGTGAGCTATCTTTCTCTCTTTGTCTCTTCTAGATGCTTATTCATCATTGTGTGTGTGTGTGTGTGTGTGTGTGTGTGTGTGTGTGTGCAAGCTTAGGCACGTATATGAGATTAACACATATGAAAATCTGTCACATGTAATGTGCAGGAGGAGTGAGTGTTGGTGTGTTACAGGGGTGTGGGCAGTGTGGGCCTGGAGGTAACGCGCCCTCTCACCAACACAGTACATCCCAGAGGGGCACTCTGCAGGGCCAACATCGTGGAGACGCAACTCAACGCTCTGGGCATCACCTTACTGCCCAAGGACAAGGACAGGTGAGTCCACCTCATCCTAAGGATAAGGACAGGTGAGTCCACCTCATCCTAAGGACTAGGATAGGTGAGTTCACCTGATCCTAAGGACAAGGATAGGTGAGTCCATCTCATCCCATATATAACTCTCAGGCGTGTATATAGAGAGATCAGATAGGGTAAATTAAGAAAGAATTCAAGTGAGAGTTGATAATAGAAAATGTCAGGAAGGACGGACAAGAAAAATTTCAGGTAGAATATATAATAAAAATATCAACTAGGACAGATAAGGGAATTGACAGCAAGGATGAATAAGTAAAAAAAAATGTTAGGCGGGATAGAAACACGATATTAAATGCTTTACCATTATATTCTATGTAAATTATTAGTTCAAAAAATAATGTCTATGTTGCCGAGAGCTTCAGAAACAGTAGAACAGAAACCTGTTCTACTGGTTTTGTGAATATTATAATGGTATACATTACCGACAGGTTGATAAGTAAGACACATGTGCAATAGTTGGATATTTTTGTTAGGAATAAAGGTAACTAAATGTTGCACATGTGTCTCGTTTACTATAATTGGCCCAGACACCTAGGTAATACACGATCATCTTTAATCTAGAGGGAGGTACAGAGGTGGGGTAACGCACTTGTCCAGCGGTTTGGTAGCTTGAGAGATGTGACTTCTCTCCCGCTCGGGAGACTTCTTCAGTCGAAATACGGAGAAGATGTAAGCTTGAGGTGGTCACTGTCTCAGTCTTCGTGTGTGTTCAGTACCACAGCTTCGATCAACGGTGGCACATGTGTCTTTCTCATTTGCTTGTCAGTGTTATTTACCAATAATATAATTATAGAAATACATACTTCTCAGCAGATAATCTCGGTATGAACTCTAAAGTTTTCTGTTGCCTGTCTTCGGCCTGTACTCCCGTGTGATACTACTGCATCTTTCTTCTAGTATTGAGGAACATTGTAGCATTAATAAACATTTACCTGCAATAGTATTTTGTTTCCACTTTTGGGCTAACTCCATCATTTGCCACAGTGGGTTTACTGCGCGACACCTGGTCGAGTTCGCTCACTCAGCCTTCAAGCATCAAAACAACGAGGTTCGTAAAGTGGGAGAAAGACTCCTACTGGCGCTGTATTCTCACTACCCGTCCACCGTCAGGAAGGTTCTGCCTCAGCAGGATGATCTAGTTCGCAAGAACGTCCTCTACAGAAACCTCTTCGAGCAACTGGAAGCCCTCGATGAGAAGGTAAAGGTGCTACCATGTGAAACTTCCCAAGGAAGAACCATATATTTTATTGTCTTTCTTGTTAGCATCGATGGAGCCTTGTTTACGTCACGTAGGCAATTGGAGAGTGTCGTGTGCCTGCATAACTCTGGGTTGTACAGTACTATTTTTTATAATGTTAAGTAGCATGAAATTTCATTATAAAAAACTATAGTAGAGTTGTATTGTATTTTTTAAGTTCTTTTCATGTGTGATGGATGATATGAGCATGTGATCTGTTTAACTTAGAGCTGTCCAGTATACATCCGAGGCCCCAGTCATTGTTGGTTACTCAA